TTTGCATTTGTGTCTGCTCGTGAGCTTCCCAAAGGCATCTGACTGGCCTCTGTGGAAAGGAACCACAACACTGGACAAAATTGTCACAGTTTTTCACACTGCCTCTTCAATTTTTGTGGCTTTATATTCTTCTCCAAGCCTTGTAATACTGCTTTCTTGTCTGAACATATGTAAAGTCCAGTTTCCTTTAATTCAAGCTCGACTCCTTTCATGAATGCATCCACAGGGTTTTCTTGGCCACAGTTTGAAATGTGGTTTGCTGCTGCCTTCTGGGATTTTATTTTGTTTTGTTTTTTGAGTGTGCCCATTCAAGTGTCCCATCAAAGGATAACTTAGGTTCCAATACTGCCATTTGTTGAGGCTGAATGGGAGGTTGAGGAAGAGGATGATCATAATGGGTGGGCAGGAAGGGATAGAGTATTTTGGTGAGTAATTTAAAAGATTCAGATTCCCTTTTTTGGATTAAATGAGCTCTGAGATCATGCTGTGAACTGTATGATCCATTCCAGTTTGGCTGAATGAGAGCAAACGAAGGCAACGAAGATCAGTCTGTTGCCAAACATTAAATTTTAATGGTTAAACTCACAAAGGACATTACTGCGCAAATAGAGAGCACTTTTTGCCCTACCCTTGGACCTATGGTGGATTGTTATCCAATAATAATTTTTGGAAGATATACTGGATCTTTAGCTGAATAAATAATAGTATCTATGATGAATTCCAAAAAAGAGGAGAGGGTGCTTTACTGACACCTTGGTGTGAATCTGATTAAGAAAACAATGAAGTTATGTGTATTGATACAAAGACCTTGGGAATAGTTCAGCTTGCGAAAAAGTTTCCTCTTTATACCTACAGTAGATCTATACTTCCCAAATGAACAGGCTTTAGAAACTGCCATATGTCACAAATTCTGGATAGTACAGCAGGATTCCCAATTAGTGAAAAATGTCTAGGAACTATTTTTAAATCCCTAGCATTTCTGTCGAATTATTGAGTATCTAATTATTGTTCAAGGAAACAGTCATATGTCCAGTGCTGCACTTAAAACTGGACCAGAAGATGCAGGTCCTGGTTCTCTACAACCCAAGAGTTTCACAAGATCTGGCAGTTGCCATAAAATCCTTAAAAAATAAAAGAGAAACACAAAAAGCTTCCACTACAGAAACAAACAGCCATGTTAAGCACCTTTATTTCCCAATGTAAAGTTAGAAAAACTGGAGTTGAGGGAATTAAAACCAAAAAGAGGTTGCCCCATTTCCGTTCCTTATCCACCCAATAAGATGGTTGAGGAGAACCTAAATGGGGGTTAAGGAGAAAAAAAGAAGAGAGAGTCATATGAAGTGCCTAAGGAAATATAATAATAAGATCCATTTTTTAAAATTTATTTTGATTTTGGTTATGAAATAGGGGAAATAACAGGGGGTGTGGAGAGGGGAAGGGGAGAGGCAATGATGATATGAGGGCTCCCCAAATCTTGCTAAGGATCTATTCACTCCTAGAACTGCAACTCTCTCTTAGTCACTGTGCCTGAGGCATATCAAAATGTCTAAAAGGTAAGTGGCTGCTGTGTGTGGCCCTACATCTATCTATTGACACCATGAGAAAGGATGCATGCCTCCCACCAGAAATCTGATAGAGCAGCTCATATGGCATTGCAGATTTTTCAGATGTGTGACAAGGTTTTTCTTTAATTGAGATTTCTTAAGAGTTACTTGCTTCTATCTTGGCTTCCATCCTAAAAATAACAACAATCCAACAATAATAAGGGCTGAAACTGCAAAATGGATAAGAAGAAAAGTCAGAGCAAAACTTGAGCAAAATTCTCAAACTGAAAATAACAAGGAGATCTTGCTAAGCTGGTATGTGTTTTCAGTAGCACATAAACAGGATGCAGAGGGAAGAGAAGGAAATGTATTATATGTATAGAAAGCATCAGAAATGATTAAATATCTATACATATACATAAATAATCATGATCAGCGGTACCACTAGCACTACTATTACTGATATTTGCAGAACCTTGGGAAAAAGAAAGCTATTCAATGTTCCAGACAGTCAAGAAAAGCCTTGAGCATAAAGTATATAATTCTATCATATCATATCACATTATGTTGGTTGACAAAGATGTTCATATGCTTATCTAGCTATGGAATACTTTTATATGGTTCTTGAATGTTATATCTCTGATTGTATACGTAAAATGATGCATGATGTGCACAGTAAGTATAATCTTCCCCATTTCTGAGAGGAAGAAATAACATGAAATGCATGCATGATGTTACCTTATATGTTCATGCCAGCCAGATGAATTATAGATTCATACGATACTAGAGTTAGAAACAACTTTGGAGACTCTTGAGCAGTGGTGTGCACAAAACAATGAGGTATATAATTATAATAACAAATTACTCCCAGGTAGGTATACTAATAAAAAACTGAAGAATTAATTTAAGGTGTTAAGTCTTGAGATGGGAGAAAAATAATTAAAGAATAAAAATAAATAATTAGGAAGTTGGAATAAAGATTGATTTGAAGAATGATTAATGATATATATATATATATATATAAACCCACAACTAACAACTGATTTTACCAAGTTCTTCAAATATCCTTGCTTAAATGAGGCAAACTGAAAGCATAAAACAGACTAGAGTAAGCCATTATTGAAGAAATAGTTCCTGTTTCTCAAGTCAGCAATTCATGAATCCCTGGTGCAACTTTCTCTGTGATTATATCAAAGAACTCTCAGTCATTCAACCCATCTCATTTTCCCCTCTCCCCTTCAACATCTTTGATATCTGAAAAAGTGAAAGTAATGTGGTGAATAAATAAATGAAAGTGAAAGCTATATAAATGTGATGAATGGATGAATGAATAAACAAATAAAATAATGATAATTTTTTTCCAGACAATGGTCTGAAAAAAAAAAGTGATGATTGGGGATTGCCTGAAGGAGCAAGGTGAATGTTCATTTCTCTTTAAGGCTTTAAAACCTATTAGCATTAGACTGCAGCTCCAATTAACTCTTCTAAAAATGTTGCTTAGCATTTGATGCAGTTAAGGAACTTTGAAATATCCATGTGTCCATCCCTCAGCACACTGGAAAGTTTTGCAAGTAGGCCATTTTATTTCAGTTGCATTCTTACAGCTGGGGCTAGGCTAAAATGAAGTGGGAGGAAGATCAAAAACATGTGAAGTCAAATCTGCTGGTTCATTTTCATTATCTTTATCATATTTTGAATTGGGAATACTGATTAAAGATCAGTTAACTAATTATTGGAGTCTAAATGAATAAATGTAGTTAAATTCAATTAGTGAATAAATGTAATTAAATGTGCACATACAAAACCTCAATCTGACCCTCACATGATTAGTTAATCAGTAAATCAATGTAATTAAACCTGTGTAATAGCAAAAACTCAATATAGGTACTGTTGGGAAAATCATGAAAAAAGTGTTAGATGTATGTGCATTTGCTAAACAGAGCAGAAGAGGCTGTTGGAGTGGGTGGGTATAATAAATTTTAATGAAATAAATAAATTAACTATTTTAAACAGAAAGGCCCTCTTTTATATATCATTTTAAATGCATTATTACAATAACAAAACAGAACTAAAATGAGGTAAAGGGATCTTCAAAACTCAGTCCTATCAATTACAATTTGCTCTACAATTGATTTATTAATCAATTAATGCTTTTGTTAGTTAATTTATTATTACATTTATTAAAGCTTATGGACTAAAGTTTAATATAATTGTTGTTGACGTGAACTTAAAAATGGAGCAGGTTAGAAATCAAAATAACCAAGGTGATTGACTGCATACATTTCCTCAAAAGTAAGCTCTTTTGACTTCAGTAGACGTCCTCCTAATTTAGTGTGCTGGATCTTCAGTTTACCCTTTGTTGAAAGTAATCCATTTATCATAGCTCTGTGTAAATCATGGAAATCAGCTTTTGAAAGCTGGCTTGGTGATTTTGGCCAGTCACTCTCTCTCAGCCCCACCCACTTCACAGGGTTATTGTTGTGGGGAAAACAGAAAGCAGGAGTATCAGGTATGTTTGCCACCTTGAGTTGAATATATGTATGATAAAAGAATAATAATAGTGATAGTGATAGTGATAATAATAATAATAATAATAATAATAATAATAATAATAATACATAGGTGTCCAGTGCAAGATAGAACAAGTGATGAAACCAGCTGTGTGATGTGGTCACACAAACCACTTATGTTCTTGTGTCTGATAACAGGAAGCAAGTTCAAAAGGCCAGAGTCTGATTGTGATATCATGGCATTTTGTCATTCTTGTGTCATTGCAGTTTATACTGGACACTTATGCTCTAATAAATAAAGTATGATAAAGAGAATTAATTAATGAATACAATGACAGAAAGAAAAATAGGCGTGCTGTATGCCTGTGAAACTAAGAGAAAGGAGAAGGATGTAACAGAGCTGAACGAAGGTGGTCTGACATTGTGGAGTTCATGAATACATGCAGGGAAATCAACATATAGGGTTTAATTATGAGTAAAAGGGCTGAACTATATATCAGAATGTAAGAATTGATGCCATTAGGTTGTTGTACATGCATATGAAAGTAGAACTCCATAGACTGGTAACAGGTGCATGTTATGCCCTTTCATATCTTATCTTGAATATTTCAAATATTATTTAGAAAGCAGGAAGTAAAATCTGGGAGGGATTGATTTGCACATAACAGGGAATTATAGCAGCAAAAGGGAAAATTAAGAAAGTTTGAAATGGTAAAAGAAACTTTTTGATCAAAACATAAATTCTCTTTAAAGGCATTTTCAACAGACCTTTAACCTAAACAGGCTAATATATCCTGTTTCAGCCACTTCAATCATACAGGTTGACTGCAGATGCTATACTGAAGGTGGAAAACATGATAGAGGAGGACTATTTCATGGCATCTGAAAATACAATCCCATCACCCACATACCTTCAAAGATGGCATATTTAATTTAAATTACTAACCTTGGAGATATATCACATCCTTGTTGCATAAAAGCTCCCAAGGAGAACCAGAGGCTATTAAATATCCCAAATTCATTGGTCTGGTCATTAGCTGGTTGGTCACGGCCTTCCTCAAGCTCCTCATTATGCCATTCGTACGGGCTGAAGCGGCTAACCAGAAAGAGGACAACGCTGACACCGATATAGGCAAAAACTATACACATCCAGATCTCATAAGCTAAAGGATCCAGGAAGGAAAAGACCCCGGGTTTGGACTTTTGAGGCTTTTTAATCATGATAGATATGCCCAGGCTCATAAAAGGTTTGGAAAAGTCTATGACTTCCTCTCGCACTAGAGTGATAGTTAATGGTGCAACAGCCACATCAGCTCTCTGAAAAGGAAGGGAGATCAGTGTTAGACAGAATGTTCTGAGATCTGCAAAGTACTGTATCAGCATGTATCAATATTTTGTTAGCAAGGTTTGGGTAGGGGGGAGAAGCATAGCATTATATATTTTTGCTCTATTTAAGATACTAGAGTATTGCTGTTTTGTTTTTTGTTATGAAGTTTAGTTTTCATGTGTAGAAACTAAGTTTGAAAAGCTTGAAAATATGAGGTATATGTTATAGATAGCTCAGTTTGATTTGTCTCATATTCTTTCCTTCATCCACTGCCCTACAGACATGCTTGGATTTGTATTACTTTATAAATCCAAAACAACAACCCTCCAAGTGTGGTTCTGTACTATTTCCTTTTGTTTAAATAATTGTTATTTATTGTGTCTTATCAAAGCTGTTGATATGATCCTTTAGTTGATGTCCCAGTCTAGGATCTATGATATTTCAATTCCTCAATTCTTTATCTCCCCCCCCCCCACTTAAAAAAGCAGGAGAAGAAAAGGTCCTGGTAGCATGATACCTACCCATTTATTTTAAGATGGAGATATTTTGCCTGATACAAATAATTTCAATTAATTGTAAATTGCTGAAATGATTTGACTGTCAACTATATAGTATCATTCATGATGATTAAGGCAGGTTTTCATGTTTTTCTTGCTGTTATTTGAAGAATAATCTCAAGTAACAGCAGCAACTGAATGCAATGGACAGTTACATTGTGAAAAATTATTTGTAATCTCTAGTGCTGAATGATAGAAACAATACTTTTGAAGATGTTCTGGCATCATTAGCTTTTATAATTGTAAACCACTGATTCAAAGCTGGAAACTTACTCCATACACTAGTTCTCCAACCATGCCATTCCACATTTTACTTTCAGAATCTCGAGCACCGTATTTTCCATCAGCAACAATCTGCAAACTGTAGTTGTAGCCAACATGTTTTGCAATTTCAGCAGCTAATTCTACACAATATCCTTCATATCTCATATTTCCTTCTAATGGCTCACTGCTCTTCTTTTGCATCACGTATGGAGCTTCCTGGGAGAAACAGAGGAAGTTGCATGATCAATGCTTCAACATTTTGGCAATGCAAACTTTTTTGCGTAATGTTAGAGTCTTTGCCTTTGATGTAAAGCCCACCAACACCAAGTTAATTGGTTCCACCACTGAACTGCTCTAGGAATACTGCTAGGATACAGCATAGAGGGAAGCAAAAGACAGGAAGCTTCAGAACACAAAGACAGTGTAGGTAAGACGAGAGTAGAATATTATTTCTAGAAATGGAGAAATAATGTGCATACTTCTATAGAGTAAATAAAATTTTAAAATCCCCAGTACATTTATTTATTCAATATACAAAGCTGTAGTAAATAAAATTAAGAATAAATAGCTTTGAGGAAAGTATCTGAAATACAGATTGTGCATATGCACATTGATGATTCTGTTTAAAAACACTATTATGACAAAAGTTCTCAATAGGATGTATGAATGATTTATGGAGGGAGAGACAGCTGCTGTCTGGAGCTTCACCACCACCACCACCACCACCGAATTCCATAAAGAAAATTCTATGAGTTGACTCTATACTGTCAAGCAAAGGCAACTAGTTTACAAAGCTCAGCCACATTATTACTTCACTGACAGAGACCAATAGTCCAAGATACAATTCACTCAACAAGCATAATAAATAAACCAGTACAGAGCAAAATAAAAGTAAAAATTAAATATTAATCAAATGATGTAGGAGGCTATTTAGGAAAACTAGTCCAAGACCCAACAATGCATAAGTATATCTTCTTTATTAATGGCTGAGAGTTAAATCCCTAGCCTTCTAACAGCAACAGCAACAGCAACAAAGCAACAGAAAGCAACAAAGCAAAAATTGGCAAGTCCTCTAGAACAGAGTTTCTCAATCTCAGCAACTTTAAGATGTGTGGACTTCAATTCCCAGAATTCCCCAGCCAGCAGATAGAGAATCTTAAAAGTTGTTGAGGTTGAGAAACACTGCTCTAGAAGTTTTTATTAATAGATCCATTAATAAAAAGTGATATTTTCATTTAATGTTATCTCTGAGAATGGAATGTCATCTTCATTTAATGAAGCGTTCATTACCATTATACCAAAACCTAGTAAAGATCATATGCTAAGTGCTAATTATCAATCTAATTTATTAATTAATGGGAACTTCAACAAGTAATCTCTTCAAAATGATCAAGAGGCTTTATCAAAACTAGACACAGATCAGATAATATTCAGCTGGTAGAAAATTTGCTTGATTTGAATAAAAATAGAAAAAGACAAAGCTGCAAGTTTAGTGCTAAATGTGGAAAAAACCTCTGATAAAATTCACAGAAAGGACATGCTTTTTTTAAAAAAATTGGTGCCTTCAAGTTAGTGTTGACTCCTGGCGACTGCCTGGATAAGTCTCTGCAGTTTTCTTGGCAAGGTTTTTTGGAAGTGATTTCCCCTTGCCTTCTTCCCAGGGCTGAGAGAGAGCAACTGGCTCAAGGGCACCCAGCTGGCTTCGTGCCTAAGGCAGGACTAGAACTCACAGTCTTCCACTTTCTATCCTACTGCCTTAATCACTACACCAAACTGACTCTCATGCATATTACCTTAGCTACATGTAAATTCTTGTCCAGAGTCTCTATGAGATCCTCAATAAAGTGAAGATAAATAGTATTTTTAAAACTTTTCCACTCTATAAAAGTACTAGACAGAGATGTCCACTTTCCTTTTGGATCTCTCTTTAGAACCCCTAGCTTGTGCTATTGGACAAGATTATACTATCCATGATTTTTGTATAATTAGAGTATCAATTGGTATTCTATGCTGATGATATTTTATTGTTTATTTCTGAATCTTGTACAGTACTTTGATTCTGGCTTTGATGCATCTGACTAATGCCTTTGCTCAAATTGCAGGATATTCTATTAACTAGTCTAAGTTGGAACTGATGTCTGTAGGTTTATTCATACATTAAATGGTTATCATTTTGTTATAGGTACTGAATTTATCAATTATTTAGGTATTCTTACCCCAAAAACATTTCTCAAATAAACACTGAATACGAATAAGATATATAAAGAGGTTTCTCTGTACTTTGGCAGATGGGAGTTATTAAAATTAATCTTTTAGGCTAGGATCAACACTCTAAAAGTGAATGGAATTCTCAGGATACTTTATTTTTTGCATGGATACATACTGTATCTGGAAAATATTTTCAAAAACTCAGTATGCTGTTTTGTAAATTTCTATGGGGTTCTTCAATTCTGGAGATACTTTTGAAAAAGATGCAATTGTCAGTTAAAAATGGGGGTTTGGGTTTTCCAAATTTTGAATTATACCATTATGCATACCTTTTGATTAGTAGTAGAACTTGTAGACTTCTTTACTTAGTGCATATTTTCCTTCTTGGGTCCTTTTGGAATATGTGACACCTTTCGTTAACTGAACTGTTTTGCATTCAAAGCAATTTAGCTAACTGAACTGTTTTGGTTCCCAATATAACAGATTTGCTATATTTTCTATTACTATTATATTGATTCAAAAACTGTTTAATATTTTTGAATGTGTATATTCTTTTGAACTATATACTGACTACGTGGATATTGATAGCACAAGAGATTTTATTTATTTATTTAGCAAATTTATATAGCTGCCCATCTCACAAAAAGAGACTCTAGGTGGCATACAACAATTAAATAAAACAATAAATATTGAAAAACAAACATTATTAAAAATATAAAACAATTAATTATTAAAAATACAAACCACCAGGCATAGGAAAGAATAGATATTAACAATGATGGAGCCATCTTAAAATGTCACCAGTCCCTTGGGACCCCCAGACTGTTGACATAGACAGGTCTTGAGGGACTTATGGAACAATAACAAGGATGGAGCTAACCTCACTTCGGGGGAGGATGTTCCATAAGGCGGGTGCCATGACAGAAAAGGCCTGCCTCCTAGGACCCGCCAAGTGTAAGTACCTAGCAGATGGGTCCCGAAGCATACCATCTCTGCCAGATGTGATGGGTGGGCAGATGTAATCAGGGAGAAGCGGTCCCTCAGATAACCCGGTCCCATGCCATGAAGGACTTTAAAGGTTAAAACCAGCACCTTGATACTGATAGGACAACAGAAACTGAGTATCCATGCCCTGATTACTGCCAAAAGATTAGTTCTTCAACATATTAATTTATGGCCCCAATTACCCAGTGGACTGAGCATATGATGGTACTTGTGACTTACAAACGAGTTGCATATAGACGTAAATTATGTATGGATGATTACGATGAAATATGGTAATCTTTTATTGAAAATGTTAGGTAATTGTTCATATGTACATCTATATATGCATGAGAAATCTTTATATACACAGTTTATACTTTTATTATTGTATTTTTTTCTCTTTTTGTTATTTTGTTATATTTTTATTTTTTCTCTCTGTTGTGTTAAATAAAGCAAAAAAGAGAAATAAGCATTTTCCTTGCCTGATCTGCAAAATGCATTATTAAAACAAGCCACCAAGCTTGATAAAATGAGCTGCGCAATAAAACGTGGAGAACTTACTCAAATCTCACTTCCAGAAAAGTGAGGGTTATTATATATCCTAAAATCAAAGAAATAAAACAATTAAGTCTGGCTCTAATGAGCCTCAACCAACTGGATTCCAAGTGCCCATGAGCACTGATGATATTCCAAGGAACTCTAAGAACAGTTCATATGAATTCAGATTCCACTACTTCAAAGGTACTTAAATCTTTATAATGGCAAATCTGCAAACCATATAGCATATAGTGTCTTGGCTTGGGAAAAATTTAAAGCAGTGGAATCACAGTTACTGCCACTGCTGTTTGAAAATCAAACATGGCATTAGCAGCCCAAGATATCTTTAATTTGTTTCTTCCAATTATGACTGAAAAGTAACTTCTAGATATTTGAAGTCTTTACTAATGCTGTTAATCACCCACCTATGATTACAATTTGCATGTCTTTTCGGTAAAAGATACTTATTTTGTTTTAGAGGAGGTAACCAATTTTTCTTTACTGCCGCTTGATAGCAAGCGCTTGAAGATTACACCTTAAGCTTCCTTGGGTTGTAAAAGGAATAACTGCATCATCAGCATACAAAAGATCGGGGACAAATTTATTTGCCAGCATTGAAGGATAGAGCTTATTTTTAGGCAGAGTCTGAATTATAGAATTAATGGAGAAACTAAAAAGGATTTCTAAACTATGTGCTTTCTTAACCTGTTTTCACATGGAAAGCTTCCCAAAAGAGGCATTTCTTATTTCACCATAAAATGTGAATATTAGACATGTTTGTAGATACAAGATATCATTCAGTGAAGTCACTGGATTTCTTCAGAAAATTTACACAATAACTCAAACATTTAAATGAAACAGAAGTCTGATGTCCAGCTTTAATCACAACACGATTTTTTCAGCCACAGCAGTCATAACAGCTGCTGTCACATATATCCATGGCCATCTTATCCAAGTGTCACATTATTCAAATATGTGCATATTTGCAGAGAGTTGAAATTTCTAGCCAATCATGTATAAAACATCTGTTTATGGAATGTTTACTAGGAATCTCAGATAATTACAGAATAATAGCATGATAGATGATCAAGCTTCCTCTCCAAGCCCTTAAGGCTGAAAAAATTTAATTCTACTTCTGTTCTGTTGGATGTTTATCCAGCTTCTTGAGAATTTTGAATTGTGGAATTTATTACTACAAACCAAATTATGTTCTTGAAGTTTAGGGGGCTTTTTAAATATAAAAAACAATACTTTTATTTTTCCATGTCAAAGCTATGGTATCTCCTCAGGAATCAGTCCTCTCCATTAAAAATCCATGAGTAAGGCAGTAAAAAAAAGAAAAAAAAAAGATGTCAACCATGTTTATGAAACATATTGCAATGGTGAGAAAAGTGCAGTGTTTACAGTATATTTTTTCCAGCAGCTTATTATTGATATTTGTTTATTTTATATCCCACTTTTTTTCCACGAGATCTCAGGAGTTTTAATGGGGAAACTTTCTTCTTATCCCCACAACAAGAGTCAAGAAAGAAAATCTGGGCTCAAAGTCACTCAATAATTTTCCATGGAAGGGTAGATTTGAATTTAGATCTCCCAACATCTTAACCACTAAATGAGCTATCCAGTTTCATGCCCATCATACAAAGCTTGATAATTTCAAGCATGTGGCAAGTCTTAAAATGCTCCTGCTTTAAATATTTTGCTTCTGAAATTGTACGAGATTCTAAATGAAGGAAAACACAAAACTAGGATAGGGTTTGCTGAGATAAAGATCTCAGTATCAGAATACTTACAAGAATGGTTGTGACAATATAGGTCCTGTTCTGCAGAGTTGTTGTTTCGTTTGCACCTTGCTGATCCGTGATGGTTGGAACAAATTTTTCATCTTCGTTCCAATAACCGATCTAGAAATGATCAACAGAATATTTTATTTATTTAACAAATTTATATGGCCCCCCAACTTACACACAGTGACTCCGGGCAGCTTACAGAGTAAAATATGATATATGGTACATCTTTGGCAAAAATCAGTTCTATAACCTGACACTATAACTGGTGCGAAAACTCATGGTAAACATTGTGAGAAATAAATCAACCACCTTTCAAAAATTGAAATATCTTTGCATTTTAAAATTTGTGGCATTATTGATTTTGTCCAGACCTCCTGAAGGCAAACGCAAAGTGTAAGACATAAGTACTTTGTGTGTGTGTATCATTATACTAATAAAAGCTTATGTGAATCTTTTATATTTTTGATACTTTCTGAGGTAGACCTGATGTTCCTATTTCTCACTCCCTCCTTTTTCATGCACGCATACACAAATTGTACTTAAAACTTTAAACTTTCAATGACTCTGTATCTGTTATAATTCAGAGATTAGATGAGTTTTACTGATGATAGGAAATCATCTGGGAATTAATCTGTGGTTAATACTTGTATGAAAAGTCCTGATCTGCATTTTTCTGACTAATGTATCAGTTAGAATTAAGCTATCAGATTTCAATTTTCCCGATGTCAAGTCACCGTTCTTAACAGATTAATACATTTACTTACTTAAATGTTTTGAGAGAAAATGATATATTTAAATCCATATTAAATATTAAAATAATATTTACACATGTATTTTAGGTTTACAGGATTAAAATATACCACAGCAGAAATAAATGGGACATAATTATCAATTTAAAAAAGCAATTGAGATGGGCAATACTCAAAATCCATTACATTCTACTGTTTAGTTTTTCATTCCAGAATCTTTTCCTAAGGATTAAAGATGACTCTGTAGAAATACCTGCCAGAGTGGATGGGGGGTGGGTAGGGATTATATTTACTTTTTTAAATATTGGAGGAGACTGAGATATCTCTTTTCAGCTTTATTTAATCTTAAGGAAGCCTGGTTTGCTTACAAAAGCACTGTTCACAAAGCACGCTGATCTCTGATTGCAATAATAACATTTGATTTGATTTCACTCTTCACAAAGAGGCTCCTTCCCTCACCTAAGGCTCCTGATACCTCATTTATATGGTCATTCCAGAAAGTATTAGAGAAAAAAAGAAACCTTTCTCTGAAGAATCTGTCACTGCTGAAGAAATCCCAAATTTACTCCTACAGAAATTCATGAAAAAAAATGTTTTTACAATCCTAAGAACATACAAAAATAGGTGTCAGAAATAAACCCATTTTTATGCCTTATTTACATAAACTTTTTTAGCTCATGACAAAAACTGCATTAGAAAATAAATGTTGTCAGAAACAAGTTCCATTCCCAAGCTAACCACCTTTACCTTTCTGATCCCATCATGTTTCATTTCAATAACATGAAGGGTGTAATTAGTTCGATGTCCTTTCTCATTAAACTGGACATTGCCTGTCAGTCCTTCAAAGCGCACCTATGACAAAAAAGGAGGAGATCAGTAAGAAAAATGACAATTATTACAAAATTGTTGTACTGAATCTCTCTCCAAAGCTCTTAAATCAGATCAAATGATATACACATCAATGCATATCAAGATTTTTCTTCAGGCATTTTCTTTTCAATTTGCACTGAGGACATAAGCCCATTTAGGTGAACGTAATTACAACTTTCCAGTTCAGACTTTTCCAGTTAACACAGAGCAGATGGGGATGCAGGCAAGCAGAGTTCACATCACCATCTCCTCTATACTTGCAAACAGATCGCCAAAAGGCTAAGATCTTCTTGTACCAAATGTGGAATGTTCTTCTGCAAAAGATAATAGACGGAAGTTAGCCACTGGGTTGGGGAAGGTTATTAAATGGAGAATTTTTTTCACATATCTGCACTTGATGTTACCTTACTAACAAAATCATCATCCCCATCATCTAAACTGTAAAGGATTTATAAACTGCAGGTAGTCCTCACTTAATGACCATTCGTTTAGTGACTGTTCAAAGTTATGATGGTGCTTAAAAAGTGATTTACGACCGGTCCTCGCACTTACAAGTGTCACAGTGTCCTGGCAATCACATGATCGTGATTTGGGTGCTTGGCAACCGTCATGCATTTAAGACAGCCACAGTGTCCCACAATCATGTGATCACCATTTGCAACCTTCCCAGCCAGGTTCCAACAAGCAAAGTCAATGGGGAAGCTGGCAGGAGATCGCAAGTCGCAGTCATGTGATCTCTTGCTTAACTTCTGCAAGTGATTCACTTAACAATCACAACTGGGACTGCTATTGCTAAGCAGGACGGTCACGTGATGCTTCACTTAATGACTGCTTCACTTAGCTATGGAGTTGAGAGTCCCAATTAGGGTTGTTAAGCAAGGACTACCTGAATAATGATGACAAATGTAATAAATTTGTCTGCTGCACTTAAAAGGAAAATAATCTGCTGAGGAACCTCAGTCATACTTGGAAGCTGTCTTTGGATAACTACGCTGAATTCAGTTAGGGTACAAGGAAGAAGGCCTTCCCAGCTGTGTCCCTCTACTTCTGGCATATCCTCCATAAGGAGGTTCACCTATGATGCAATGTTTTTACACCCAGTATCTGTCAACCCCAATGCACAGGAGTGAAGAAATACTTGTACTGAGACAGGCTACAAGAAGAGAACTTTACAAGTCTGATTTTGCTGTATCTCCTCCTAATTCTTATAGCTCAGTGAATTAGGGAGGCATCTGCCTGAGCCACTTCCAAATGTTATCTGACCATTCTGGACTTGAAAAATCCTTTAGCCACTTTTGCCTAGGCAATAGAGCCTGCTTAGCTCCATCAGTGTTCTCTTCCTCACTCTGTACATGCCTGCACTGTTCCTGTACTGTGTTGAAGCCAGCTTAACTCTGAGCTGCTTAAGAAAAAACCACCTGGACCAAGATGCTCTGATAGCAGCTTGCAAGAAATTTAGCCCAGAATGCAGGTACCAGGCCCACCCACCTTTGGACAATTCCCTTGCAGCTATGTTGTCCCATCTTTGTCCAGAAAAACATGGCCAATTGCTTTCCTTCCTGATTTTACTGGACATATATAGGTAGTCCTCATTTAGCGACCACAGTTGGGCCCTGTAACTTGGTCGTTAAGTGAAGTGGTTGCTAAGTGAAACCGTGACTGTGCTTATGATCTTACTTCATCTTTCCCTTGTTTTACAGTCCGGCAAAGGTCATAAATGTGAGGATTGGTCACAAAGTTACTTTTTCATCACTGTTGTAACTGCGAACAGTCACTGTATGAGGCAGTTGCTAAGTGAGGACTACCTGCACAGAAGCCACAGCAGATTTTCTTGAGGAAAAGCTGAGAAAATGAGGGCAAAGTACTCCTGCCTCTGTGCTGCAGCTGGTCAAAATGCAGGGGGTTGCCTAAACCAAAGTAAAGTGCAACAGTTAAACGGGACTGCAATGTTTGAGCTGGCACAAGCTGGAAAACTCTACCTTTGATTCAGAACAACAAAACATAGGGAGAGGTTGGGTTTGCAATAGGCTGGAGGTAAGATACAATGTCATCCATTCCTGCCCTCCAAAAATTGTTGGTCCATTGCTATGAAGAAGCAACCTAACTATGCAGTTTTGCCCTTGGACATTCCTTTTCCTCCAATCATTTCAGAAATTAGCATTGAAATGATAAGTGCTTCCAATAAGGTAGTTTTTACAAATTTTCCCTTTCTAAACTCCCACTTCTCTTAACACCAGAGAATACCTAGTACTGAATGGATTGCATATACTATATAATATAAAGACAGAATAAAGGAACTCTGCTTCAGTGCTAAATCTTAATATGATTTTTTCTGTTTCCATTGTAAAACAATGGAAAATAGTAAATCAAGGGACAAGGGGGTTGACTTAGTTTACTTCCAACAACCTAGCTTTCATCTATAAGACGCATTCAAGCATGTTGCCCATCAGCAGTCTGATATAGTATAATCGAATAAGTATTGTGTAATGTATTATTTATGCATCTGACATAGCCAGCATTCACTCATGTATAAAAGCAGAGTATATCGTGAATTACCTATTATAATTTTATTTTAGGTTGCTGAAACCTTTTAATTCAAGCTTGATGAGATCAGGATCCACCCTTACAAAGAAAGTACATTTTCCCCCAAATGTCCTCAGTCAGATTTCCCCCCCAATGTCTTTTCCTAAATAAGGTGACTTTTCAAGACTACTTTAGAAATCCAGTTTCAGTATAAATATTCAATAGTCATCCTTGACAACATAATACAGATTACAGTCCATAAAATAATGGTTGCATGGAAATTAATGAATAATTCAGATATTTTAACAATGTTATAATCTCTGTCCAGGCTTAAAGTTTCTGACCTGTTGTAGAGCTCTCTGGATGTCAATCCCTTGTCCCCAAGGAACAGCTGGATTTGCAAGGCAATCCCCAGCATTCCCACGACGGGAAATATCAATTCGTTGTTTCCTGAGACTCTGAAAAGCTTCTGCCATTACCCGAACCCCATCATACGTAAGAGCAGATGTGTACTAGAAAATAGATAAAATATGTGTGTTGGCTATTAGGCTTGATTTTGGAAGTGCCTGTTCCTTCTCCCAAGACAGGGATCTTCAAATTCCAGTGTTTAGCTACCCAAAAGCTATTTTGCTAATATCAATGTAAACTTAATGTGCCACAGAGGTAATTTTGTCAAATAATACTGGGTGCTTCAAAAATTAAGAGGAGCAATACTCTGTAGGTTTTTGTGGTCTGAACTGAAGTTGTGATTGTTGTTCCTGGCAGTTGTCCCACTTTTAGGATCTGCTTGTTTCGCACTATTTGCTGCAATTCTTAAAGTAAAGCTATCAATGCATGATGCAAGAAGTTTTATTTTTCAGCCAGCTTATCACAGAGCCTGACACTGATCTGGACTGAGAGGGAACGCCTGGCCCAAGGTCATCCAGCTGGCTTCCAGGTCTAGAGAAGACTAGCGCCTCCCAGCTCCTAGTCCAGCACTTTAGCCACTGTATCTTATTGTCTCTTTATGATCTGAGCTAAAACACAAATTTGGCTGGATTTGACAAGTCATGAGGCTGTATATACAGCTTCTGATTTTTCCTAGACATAGCTGAACGGTAACTTGCACACTTCTCTGTAGGTGTATTTTTATGTCTAATAATATTAATGACAACTATAATTTCCTGGGAAAAGCTGCAGCTGCTTTAAGTAGTTTGCACTCTGCGCACTCCAAAGTACAGCCTAGTTATTATGCTAATTTTGCTTTCAACTGTGTTTTAATTAATCTGTTCTACCTTGAGAGTCATTTTTCCTTGATGGAAATGCAAGATATCCAGAATAATAATGACAACTTGATTTCAGTGGGTCTAATTTAAGCATGTATAAGTCTGGATCCAATCCATTACAGTATTTGTCAGATTTGCTGCCTCAGGCTTTAGAAAATTATACATAGGAAGCTAAAGCCTTCAACGCTACCTTTACAGGGTGCAAGATTTGCATCATAACAAAGTGAATCTCTGGGTGTACATGTTTAGTTAAAAAATATGTTACTCAAAACTATTTTAGATTAAAACTGCTTGCCTTAATATGACAATCCCAGAACATCTCTCTCCCTCCCTCCTCCTCCCTCTCCCTCCACTATATTCAATCTACAATATGACTTACCAATCATTAAAATATTGTCCAAGTAAGGGGGAAAAAAGAACTTATTTTTTGCACAATGAAGGATCTATGAGAAGATATGCAATAGAGTATATATCTTTCTATCACATCTACACAATGATGTGAAGGTGAATTATGTTTTAAAAATTATTTGTTTAAAAGAGTATATAGCACCATATTTTTGTTCAATTCAGTGCAAAGCAATTATTCAGCATGCAACTTGTTAAATAAATTGTTACAGACTCCCCCAAACAGAAGAACAAGGCATGAAATTTCCTTTAGCTATCCCAATGCTAATTAACACATGTAAGTTACTTTAAGGTTGAAATCCTACTTACACACAGTAATTCTTCCAAACCCAAGTCAGAACTAGGATATATTCTATCTGAGCATCAACACTGAATATTAGAGGAACAGTTTCAGATAACTTTCCTTAATTTCTCATACATGTGTTGCACTCTGGCTCTCAGAATTCCCCAAGAATATGTTATTTGGGCATTCTGCCTGGATATTATGTAAGTTAAACACATCTGGAGAAACTAAACTGGGCGAGCTTACAGAGAAGCTGGTGTTCGTACAGCATTAAGTCATTATTAATGAGGAACTCACTGTAATACCCTTCTGTATTTTGTTGCACTGCTTGAAAGTTTGTTGCTAAATTGTTTTTCATTTGCATACATAATTTTGACTGACTGAAATATCTATTCTAAATAATAATAATAATGATAGTGTGTATGCATATGTATGTGTGCATTATTATCTGCTCAAGTCAATCCACTGCAGGATGAAAGCATCTTCACTGAAGATTAGAGACCATAATCTGCCATGTTGATCCAGTACCAGCTGGGAGGTAGATTTTTTTGATTTCCCAATTTAATTCTAAGAAACAGGGACTGGCTCAAAGTCACCCAGCTGGCTTCTGCTCCTAAGGGAGAACTTAAACCTCCTCCTAGTCCAGCACTTTACTACCACACCACACTGATTCATATGTGTGTGTATGTGTGTTTATGCGCTTCAAAGTGAAGATTCTTTAAAGAGCACGCCACAAAAGTCTTCCCTAGATTACCAAAAGGAAACATCAACTTCACTGAAACCAATTTCACTGTGAGTTGCTATGGAAGAAAAGCCCCATACCCTACAGGCTTGATTTTCTGATTCCAGTCTGACAGCACATAACAAGAAAGTGGCATTAACACCTCCTCAAACAAATGGTTTTCAGTACCACTTGCCTTTGGCCTCTTCCAGTCTACCCGAGGTTGTTCCCTGGCATCATTGTTCTTCCACTGTTGCATGATCCTAGCTGGGATGGTGTCTGTGTAATTCACCAACTGGAATCCAGTCACATTTGCTCCACTTTCCTTGAATTTTCCCAGGTCAATATCCATAAAGCCCTAAGGAGAAAAAAAAAGCAACAACAAAAGTGATGAATGAACATATATTAACATAAGCAGCGATGTTTTAAAACTCAATCTTTACAAAGACTGATGAAAAATGCAGTAATCTAAACATCCCAGATTACCCTACAGAATAGAATGTTACCTTTCAAATGTTGTTTCTTGCCCCAAGTATTGTGGTGAGTTCTCTACTCATTAATTTTTTTAAAAATGGGGATTTTCTTAGGGAAATACACTGGAATTTAAAATTAATTTACATTTAATAAATTTTAAATATATAACTTTCCAGAGGATTTTTCAAAATAACGGCAGACTAATAAAGAAAAAGGTGAGAACAAATTGAAAGAATGAGGGCCTATGAAAATGACATGGATGAAGAAAATGCCTCTCTCTCTAATCATAAATATAAGTAGGAATATAAAGAACTCCATTGTTTTTTTCCCAAGCAAAATAATGTGAACTGCCCAAACAGAATCTTCTGCAATATGGTATAATTCATAGGGTGTCCCAAATATCTTTGGAAAAGGAAAAAGAAATATGTTAAGAAAAGTATTCACCAATGTGTATATTGGAGAATGTATAAACTGTGATAGTTACATATGCAATTGCAACCTGTCAGCACAGGCAAATTCTTGAATATATTTAGATTTGATTTAGGCCGATCTACATATCACTAATTCTAAATCCAGTGCTTTGTGTTTTTAAACTTTTGAAATGATGCAATGGAACAAAACTGGTTGTGGAGTGGTAGGAATAATGGGAGCCAAGGAACAAATGTGATATGGCTCACTGTGTGTAGGCATCTGTTCTATATTCTGCATTTTCACACTGCCCCATTCCACAAGGACTTGAGTGTGTTCCAAGTGTATAAAGCCAATGGAGCCGAGACAGAGTGACAACAGCAGTTTTCATCCCAGAGGAGTAGCAAGGCTGGTTTTAGTAATTAGCTTCAGAGGTAAATTGGCAAGAGGAGAGAAGAGGGAATGGGGCAACCCAAGCAGCAAATTTACCAGATACTTAGACTGAAAGATATTCACATTTCCTTTGATTCATGAACTAATGGAGCTGCATGCAGTTATGGGACACTCTGGATTATCTATACTGCTTTCAACAGAACCCAAACCCAATCTATGCTATCCTTTAACAAGGGTAGAGTTGAATATATTTCAGTCCTGTACAGCCAAAGAAAGAGGACAAAGTGAGATGATGACTTGAATTTCAATGTGAAAAGGAATACAGGCCCATTAGCCAGAACACATTTTCATTAGAGCTGGTTGAAGAATAGAAAAAAAATATTCCTAGGGAATTATTCAATAGACAAAGTGTCTACACTTCCAAAGGGGTATTAGTTACACAGGCATATCCATCCAAACTTAACTCCCATGCCCTCAGTCAAATGCTAGAAGAATGGCCATGTTCCCTCAGGTTATGGTTCATGAAACAAGTAAAGGTTTTATAAAGTCATATTTAGCTGTTGAGGTTCAGATTAGGCTTACTTTCCTCAATAAGGCAGACTTGGGGAACACTGGAACTATAACTCCTAGAATGCCCAATCAGATTTGGTCATGCAGACCAGGATTATAGGAGTTGTACTGTAATTCCAACATATCAAGTAGACAGCAAATTGGAGAAGGCTGCGACAAACTCCCCGGCTTAAAAGTCTGCTTAATTGAACAGAGAAATGTTTAGAAATATATGTTTCAGTACTATCAGATTGTTTTACTTTCTTTGTAAGCCAATCCAATTCTACTAGCAAACTTTGAAAGGATAAATGAGATATATGAAAGCAGCAGAAAAACAAAAACAAAACCCAGTAACAACAGAATTAAAACAACCTAAATTGTAAAAACTTGTATAGATGGGGTCTTCCAGCAGAAAACCCTATCAAAATGGAATGTCATGACTAGGATGGATTTCTGATCACTATGCATCAATGTCAAATGATGCCACTATACTGATGCATAAAAAGTTAGCCTGTAGAAGCCATTTAGGAGTGCTTCACAAAATGCCCCTCTGAACCCACTGTTTATCGTGTTGAGGCAGCTGCATCTCTTCAAGGTTCTTTCTTAGTTTTTCTGAACTCATGTGTATGTTGGATGCCATTTCGTGGTTCTCTGTATGTTCAGAAGATAAGAAGAGGACTTCAAAATGATCCAGCTGCTTTGATGCTCTGAGCAGTGGATTTTGAAAGGCACTTCACAAACCACCTTTCTGAAAGACTTGGACAACCCTAATAGAAAATGCTATTTCAGATATTCAGATCATAAATATTATAAGTCTGTAAAGGTAAGCATCAGCACCTTGACTTGCTTTTGGAAATAAACAAGTGACCAATGGAATTGTATTCATAAGTAGAAAACTGTGTTCACTACAATAAATCCCGACAGCAATCTAGCTGCACTATTTTAGAGTAATTGGATTTTCTGAATTTTCAGACACGTTTCAAGAGGGAGGTGGTGGTGGGGAAGTGTAATGTGGGGATGACCTTGGGAGACAGGAGGAAGAGCCGCAGACTGGACAACCATCATGTAAAAGACATCTCAGTCCACAGAAGGAGAAATGGCATGGGAAACATTTCAGAAGGGACCCTCCCTAGTTTTCCAGAGGATAAAAGGAGAGAAATACTTTCAGTCTTGCAAGATTCTGTCAATGTAACCTTACAATATAGAATTAGTACTCATAGTTCTGCTGCTTGGCTGGACTATCTTGAAGGGCTAACAGAAAGCCACTCTGAGTATTAGTAAAATGGATAACTATCACTGGTGTAGGTATCACAACTGAGATTTCTGACATAGTTGATGAGAGATGCAGTGGGATCTGAACATACCCAGAAATTGTGAGCCTGATCCCTCAGAAAAAAAACAGAAATTCTGCCTAAAACATTGAACTACCCCCCAACTATAGCAATATATCCAGCATGAATCTCAGATATATAGAAGGAGCACTTGCACAGCCCCACTAAATGTGATGAAAGAACGAATTGGGTTTCATCAGTATACAGTACTGATAACAATGAACTCCAAAGCACTGAATAATATCACTTATTAGTTTCACATAGATGTTAATCAGCACACAGAAGAAAACAAATAATTGTGAATCAGTATAGTGCAAATGCTAAGGGCCACAGCAAAACTCCACCCACACTGCTTCCCAAAACTAGCTATCCATATAGAACTGGAACCATTGCAACACTGTGCCTTCAGCTCCCATCCTAGCATACTGCTTTGTTTGTGCAATTTTATTTCTCCTTTCTTTTGGGTGGATTACAATGGACGTGGAGCTCCACAGCTCAATAGATAATTGTCCTAGAATGGAAAAATCATAATGTTAGAAGGAAGGGATCTCAGATGGAATTTCATGCTATATTGGTTAGGGATATAAAGCCCATTGTGACAGCATCCCTAAAAAGTAGCCATTCATAGCATCATATAGTTCAGTGTTTCTCAACCTTGGCACCTTTAAGACGAGTGGACTAAACCCCCAAAAAACCCCCACCAAAAGGGGTGGG